TTTTTTTTTTTTTTTTTGGTATGTTGAACAGAGATAGATATAGTTGAAGTTAGATTATTTCTACGATAGATTTTTTCCTTTAAAGTTTCTTTAATCCTCCTTGAAAATATGACTTCAGCAGAAATTTTAGTCAGACTATATGATCCTTACGTAAATAAATGTGTTGGAAGATTTATTTAAATGCTTTGATTGAATTTGGATCAATACCGCACTTTTCCGTTACTGTGCAATATAAATAATGCGAGTTGTGATGAATCCATATTAAAACAAATCAACACTATTAAGGGTTTTTAAGATTGCAACACGAAGAAGGGGCACAGTACAAAGGGCTGATAATAACTTCCTTTTGATTGCTACTTTATTGAAATTCATGAATTAAGCAAAAGCCGCTAGTCTACCTCGACTCGCAGTCCAGTCATTGGCATTTGTATGTAAAGTTTCAAGACCAAAGTTTCTTATTCCTGACCAATTAACATAGTGCTCACAATTTTAACATGGATGGCACGTCAATGACATTAATAGATTAATTATTTATTATAGGTATTAGAACTGACGGATGACAACTTCTCAACAATAATAATAATAATAACCTGACTCAGGTGCACTTTAAGTTATGCATGAATGAGCGTAATTAAATGAGCGGACCTGAAAACTACTTAGATTGTAATGCGACTCCGAATTTGGAAACATGAGAGTAATTAAATAAGCAACTTGACTTGTTAGATTGTAATCAATTCAATTCTTCTTTTTTAATAGATTTTAGGCTAGCAATGTTCTTCCTTTATTTAATGCAATAAAACGATATATTAGAAGAACTTTGTCGGAGAGTATTAAAATAAGGTGCTGCATGGATCTCAAGAATATTCCGTTTTTATCCGAACATAAAAGATGAACTTTAGGGAAAAGCTTGAAAATAACTCACTGTCAGTTTTATATCATGTGCTCGACATTTCAATACATTTTTGAGATAAATATGTTAGATCCCGCGGAAAGTTCATGGTTCGAAATAGTTTGTTGAGCTGAAACAAGCGAGGTACAGTGGTGTAAATGAACTTTATCGAGAGCCATCAGTATGTGTGGATCGCACTTCATTAGGCCAAGTTACTATGTTCTACAAAGAACTGGGAAGCAGCTCGACAAAGCCGCTATAGAACTTATACAAAATTAGCATTTCGAACTTGAATTCACTCGTGTAAGTCATATCATTTCTTTAAGTATCAAATAAAGATCATTATAAATAAATAAAATAATCTACTCGCAAAAACATTTATTTATTGTTTTGCTTTCATATAAGTATTTTTTGAATAATCGTTGCTTTTTCTTTCCATGAGCTTCACACACATCTACAGTGACTCGCCAGAAACTTCGGGAGCTTGGTTGAGAAGTTTTAATGCATCCGCCATACAGTTCGGACTTGGCACCAAGCGATTATCATCTTTTTCTTGCATTGCAAAATTTCTTTAATGATAAAAAATTGGAATCTGGGGAGGATTGTGAAAATCGACTACTAGAGTTTTTTGCAAATAGAGATCAGGATTTCTATGAGAGAGGCATTTTGAAGTTACCTTTAAACTGGCAACAAATCATACAACAAAACGGTGCATATTTGACCCAAATCGGACAATCCGAAGCATATGGATTTCTTTTTACCCAAACTAATATTTCTTTTATTAACATAAGACACTGAGCATCAAATCTAGCAATATTGGCAACATAGTTCAATTAAACATAATTTATTTTTATAAATCTGGCAGCATTGTCACCTGATGTTCGTTCAATTTACGTGTTTTACATTTTCGCATATCGAACTAAAACGCGTGCGTTTTTCTTCGTAAAAAAAATTGCATTTGTTTTTTTCAAAGTAGTTTATCAACTCTTTGAATTACACTTAAGTTTAAGTTTAAAATGTTATAAACAACACTGTGACATATTTATTAAACAATAGAGGAACAAAAACTTGTGTACCATATTGAGCAAAATAAAAGCAATTGTATGTGAAAAACTCTGTAATTTGCATCGACACTAATGAGGAAGTAAAAATTGAAGAAGAAAATTGTAAAAAATAAGAACAACACGAAATCAAGAAGATTGCTCTTTCTGAAAATTGTTGTGTCCTAAAAAAGTTTGTACAAGTTGTTTTTATTTATTTCTGTTTGTATGAATTCTTCATATTAAAATTTAAAAATTTTTAAGTTGTCTATACATACGTTTCTGCCATCAATTCGCTTAAGTGTTGTTCAAAATTTAAGTAAATAATTTTACAAAAAGATTTCATGGAAGAAGTCATTGTATTGAGCAGCGATAACGAAGATTCTTCATCATCACCATCATCGCCATCTTCAGCATCGGATATGGAAATTGATCCAATTGAAATTGAGCACAATACTACCGAGCAGTTTGTGCCCAAGGACAACCAAACGTAAGTGTGACAATAATAATAATAACAGTTTGGATAAATCAATGATTATATTTAAGATGAAAGTAACATATACCACTTTCCGCATGACAGGATCGACTTCTCTTTGTTTCTGTTTGTGTGTGCATTTCTACGGTGTCACTTGCCCTGTATACGTTGTGGCACATATATTACATGTTTTTTTTTATCCATAAGGTTTTACAACGGGACACATTAAAGGAAGTTAAAAAAAAAGAAAATAAAAAAGAAAATTAAAAACTAGGACCTGCTGACAAATTAGGTAACACTGACGAAAAGTATCTATATATGTTTTTATTCCAAGTTTATTTTTAAAGAGTTTCTCTTTACCGTAATAGCAATGTTTGCGAATGTCATACCAGACACCCACGTTATATTGTGCTGAAATTTTCGAACCGACTTTCTTAAGCCCATTCTTAAAGTCGTGCATGTTCTTTAAAACTATAACTTCCAATGAATATGTTATTAATGAAATGTTGTGAAACTCTGATTTAATTTGTTTGTTATGTTTTGCCTTTCGCTATTTCCACTAATTTTTAATATCATTTTACACTCTAATACCTTTCCAACATCACCTAGCAACCTAAAAGCAAGCAATATTCTTAAGTGTATAGCATCTTAAAAGCTTCTTAACATGTGAATAAATAAAATAAACATAAAATATAATAAGCACATATGGAAAACTGTTGAAAGCAGAACTGGAGAGCTGAGCAAATAGCATTGAAAAGAGGTGCCAGATTTTTGAATTTTTTTTTCCCCTTATATGCCTTTGTAAAGAGGCCATACGTGCAATTTAGTTCAAGAAGTTTTTTTGTTTTCCAAACTGGCGGATGGCAATCTTGCTGCTAAAGAATGTATGTATAGTTCATAAGTAACACATAAAAGTACGGTGTGAAGACCAATTGACCAGCCTGGGGATCTAGCTCTGCTCAATAGTACGCGCTGCTTGTCTGTGGGTTTGTCCCTTTGCATATTCTTATGCGCGGATATGTGGTATATTCTTAGCTGAAGATTGCAGATCAAGTTCGAAAATGGGGCCAGGCCCACGTTAGCTATAACATAGCAAGTAGTAATCAAAACTTTAGGCGGCCGTTTAAAAATCTTTCTGCTAAAGAAGGCGTAATGTGCTTTTGTATCCATTACGACAAGGGTATGCAGGCTGAGGAGCATTTGTGTGTAAGAAACAAACGTCGACAGCTATAAAGTACACACAAAATTCTTTTTTGATTTACACATACCTCTCCATTTATCCGTTTCTATGCTGCTTGTTTGGCTTTTTCACGTCTATTATTGGTAGCGGGCATTCAGACTGTAAATTGCCGCGAATTAAAGATGGAAATGGAATTTTTTTCGTCAACAAATGGGAAACTTTCAGTTCAAAGCAGTTTTTACTTCATACTTACGAGGATGGTCTAACGCTCGTTGGAAAATTGGATAATCCACATGAATAGCCGAGTAGGCAAAGGATCGCGACTAACAAATGGTCGCGGGTGCAAATCTCAAGTGAGATAGAGTTTTCTATACAGGCGGACTTATGACCTAAGTTATCCGGCATTATTTAAATCCACGCTTTGCAAATTTATTTACAAAATATGAAGGTAATATATAAATAAAATAAAAACGGATAAGTAAACAAAAAAAAACGTAACAAAGAGACCCGGTATATATATTTCCAATAGCGAGTTCCGACAGTTAAGGTAGAAAAGTATCTCATAGATAAAGTATTATTCGTTGCGTTTATAGAGTTTGTTCCATTATTACCTTTGGGATGAAAGATAAAAATGATTTTCATCAAACTCGGAGAAATTTTGTATGGAATATCATCTAAAATCTATCTAAAGCGTCTACCAACGTTTGTCATAGGAAATTTTCAATGTTTTGTACAAACGTCAGTCAAGGCATATCGACCAAAACTCCTTGCAAGGATAATTGCATGATGATAGCATGAAATTTACAACGGCGCTTAAAGTTGGGAGACATTGTATGCGTTTTATGATCTTCTTTTCGTTCAGTTCGTATTCCTTTCTTCTTTCTGTAGTGTACTTATAATAAAACAGAACTCCACTTGTTCTCAGTCTAATCGAAATTATGAAAACAGAACATTGACGATCTCTGTTTATTCAAATGTTCGTAGAGCTTCGCTATCAGCAGTGGAGAAATGGATATACGCGCATGGCTGAGTAAACTTGTTGTGCGTTTGTTGAAATGTTTTTTTTTTCTTTTCTTCTTTTTATTGTTCCTTCTCACTTCCCGCCTAACAATTCTTATAAACAAAGTTAATCATCAATGATTACGGCTTGACGAGAAATACTTTAATAAACTTGAGGCATCTTAAAGCGAAAATATAGTTTTCTTTGTTTTTCTCAAAAATCTTGTGTTTGTTGTCATAAATTTACATTGTTGTAGACAATGAAAACAATTGCGAAATTTTGAGAAAGAAAAAATTTTCATTTTGCAATAAATGAAATGATTACTTGAATTATTTTAAACGGAAATGCCATAATTGGTCGACGCTTATTACTAACTGCAAACAAATTTAAATTTCAAATTTTCCATTTCGTTATAGCCGTAGGTGAATTTACCTTTTTTGGAAAACTTACTTTCAAGGGAAACTAATTTGTTTAAATGCTCTAAAACAAGAGCAAAGCTATGTATGCCTCGAATGTAATGAATCTTAGATATTAGATAAATGCAAAGATATATTAACTTTAACGTTCTTTTTGCAAAGATTTCAATGCGTCTATCTATCTGCGCTTCATTTTTTGCAATACTGTGCCGTACGTGATTAATAAATCGGTTATAACATTTCGTTTTCGAGTTTTGCATAAGTTAAACCTCTAAAACACGTCAGCGTATTAATGCTTTGCTTAAATCGATTCAGAAAGGGATTCTGAGTGTTTGGATATAATGGAAGGTGGATCTATGCCGAGTGCTTCGATCCGCCATTAAGAGCTCTACAGTTGCTCATGCAACAACTTATGGGGAGTAGGCGAAAATGGTTCGTCCCAAACAATTTCGCAATCATTCTCGGGCTAAAACATATCAGTGTGTCAATGCTACGCTTAAATCGATTCAGAAAGGGATTCTGAGTGGTTGGATATAATAGAAGATGGATCTGTGCCGAGTGCTTCGGTTCGCCATTAAGAGTTCTACAGTTGCTCATGCAACAACTTATGGGGAGTGTGCGAAAATGGTTCGAGCCGAAAAATTTCGCAATCATCCTCGGACTAAAACACATCAGCGTAAATCGATTCAGAAAGTGACTCTAGGTATACTCTAAATAACATAAATATATACATTTGATTTCAATAGTAATAGGTAGACAGGTAGGCATTGCCTTTGCTTTCACAGAGTAAAGACAAAAATAATCTGAAAAGCAAGAATAAATATATTTGTAAAACTTCTATTCACAATTGGACGCAAGTCCAATTTTTCGTTTTTTTTTTTTGACTAATTTTTTCTGCTTTTCGAAAAGTTTGCAAAAAATCGACTTAAAAACTGTGACTTCTTTGTCCGCCTTTCTTGACCCTATGACAGATTTCGGCCATTGGGAGAATATGAAGTACAATAATTATAGAAAAGCACGTGTACATGCTACGATTAATCAAATTTATGGAAACCCGATTGAACAACGGAATTATCGAGATTTGAAGGCGCGTGTTAATTTAAAATCGGTGAAACGTAATTCAAATACGTCTGTACTGTCTGGTGTGGCGAGCCTCATCGATCCATGTGAACTAGCTTCAGGAGACTTCAGGTAAATGATGAAATTGCGCACATCACTAGTAAATATATATGTAGATCGGATTTTGTAATATACGGGTGTATATGTTTGGAACTATTCTCAAGACGAATACTAATAAAAGTTTAAATGGCTCAAGCAACAATTCCTTCAACTTTTTGCCATTTATCTTTTTAATTTAGTTTTGCATTTCACTTTTGAGATTGTGTGTGTGTTACATAACGGCAGTGGTGGATTGTCGATGAGACATGACGCTTTCGGTTAAAAGTTTGTGGTCATTTGAACGCTTCAATTAGTTTTGCAAAGTTTTACTCTCAAAGTTTTTTAATATTGTTATCTCGTCGCGTCGTATTAAATTTATTTAAAAAATATTTTTCGGTATTTTTTTCTGTATACGTGTACAATAATAAACCAAACAATGTGATTTGTGCGGTTTTCTGCGACTGTTGCAAAGTGTTATCTTTACACTCATTGCTTGCTATGCAGATATAACCACATAAACACACATACACACATACACAAACGCACGCACAACCATCCTTGGCCGCAACTGTTTTAAAATTAACAAAATAATCATTTGAAAATTATATCAATTTTAATGGAAAATTGTTTTCCGTACTTTGATTAAATGCTTGATTTAATTCCATAAAAAATAATCCAAGAATTATTCGCCTAAAGTATTTTCGGAAATCCGCATCAATGATATATTGTTCTGCCTTTCGCCTTTTTTTTTCTGAGAATTTTTTCCTCGTAGGGCCGGGGCTTGCTTAGCTTGCTTCAACAAAGAACGTAAGACCGAAGAGAGTTTAATCTATCAATAAGTTAAATTATATCGACGATACCAAAAAAAAGATTGGAGGATACGAGATTACTTTTTTTACTTGCCAATCAAACGAATTTCAGTAAATGCAGACATTTTCAAAAGGAGCCGAGATTGTCCTCATATTACTGCAGCAATAGTACTCGATATTATTTAGTTGCGCTTTCAGAACATTGTCGACTAATCACAGAGACATTGCTCTCCATTATAATTCGTTTATCGCCGTTGCATTTAATGCCTACTACGGGTTACAGTGGACATAGGGATTGGCTTACATTCATTATCATATCATTCATATCCATTATAATTGGCGTTATCCGGTGCCCGCTTTATAGGTAATATGTAATACTACCTTTGTGAGTAGAAAGGATGGGAAGAAGATCAAGACTAATTGCAATCCTTCTCAAATCAAATGAAAAATCA